TAAACCCTAAACCCTAAACCCTAAACCCTAAACCCTAAACCCTCAAGTCCATAACCCTAATCCCCACACCCTAAACCCTGAATCAATCATAAGATCATGACTGTCCATAGAACCGGTAAGGGAGAGCAGCTCATGGTTTTTCAGAACCAGGACCCAGGATCCTGGATTTTGGGGTTCAGGGTTTTGGGTTTAGGGTTGAGGGTTTAGGGTGTAGGGTTTAGGGTTTAGGGTTTAGGGTTTAGGGTTTAGGGTTTAGGGTTTAGGGTTTAGGGTTTAGGGTTTAGGGTTTAGGGTTTAGGGTTTGGGGCTTAAGGTCGGTTTGGGTTGAATTTCTGGGGGTTCCGGGCTTGGAGCTGAAGATACATAGGGCTGCTCAGACAACAAGAGGAACTCGTTGAGAATAGCCCGGGTTGTCTTGAAACAAGGGTTGTCTTAATAACCCTAAACCCTAAACCCTAAACCCTAAACCCTAAACCCTAAACCCTAAACCCTAAACCCTAAACCCTAAACCCTAAACCCTAAACCCTAAACCCTAAACCCTAAACCCTAACCCTAAACCCTAAACCCTAAACCCTAACCAACCCGAAACAACTCTTGTTTGAAAACGGCCCAAAACAACCTTGTTTTGAAACAACACATAGGTTCACAAGCAACGCAGGCATGCGGCCAGTAAATGCTTGAGGGCCGGTGTGCGATCTCTCATGACTCATCTAAACCTGATAAAGCATATAGTAAGCCCACAAACCCAATGAACCGCATGAACCCCATGAAACACCCTCATGCCCCAAATCCTGAACCCAGAACCCCAAACCCTAAACCCCAAACCCCAAACCCCAAACCCCAAACCCTAAACTCTAAACCCTAAACCCTAAACCCTAAACCCTAAACCCTAAACCCTAAACCCTAAACCCTAAACCCTAAACCCTAAACCCTAAACCCTAAACCCTAAACCCTAACCCTAAACACCGAACTTCGAAGAATCTCACCGTGCTTGGCGCGCCGTCTGTCGGGAGGCTACGAGACGCAGCGTATGGAAGATGTCCTTCGCAGCCTTTGCGGTGAGAGCTTAGGGTTCTTTAGGGTTTAGGGTTTGGGCTTTAGGGTTTAGGGTTCTAGGGACGTCCTTGGAGGTTCGTGGGCACTCATAGGTAGGGTAGAAGTAGGGCGACGATTCTGGTTACAACCTTATGTAGGGTACTTCTAGTACTTCTAACCCTACTTATCAGTACCCTCAACCTTCGAAGAGGGTTTGGGCTTTTTTGGGGCTTTAGGTTTCTGGGACACTGGGTTTGGTGTTCTAACCCAAACCCTAAACCTAAACCCTAAACCCTACACCGGTTTGGGGTTTGAGGTCCAGTGTTTTTGGGCTTCAGGGTTCCTGGGCTCAGCATGTCGTCTCAGGGATGGCTTTCGCGGCCTCTGCATTCAGGAGGCTTGGGATTTAGGGACCTGGCGTGATAGGGTTTGGGCCTTTAAGGGTGTAGGGTTTTGGGGTTTAGGGTTTAGGGTTTTTAGGGATTCGGGTTTAGTCCTTCAGTGACGGGGTGGGGGGGGGGTCTAGGAGGGGGGAAGCTTGGCTTGAAAAACACGATAGAGTGCAAGTCAAGATTGGGGAACGTCGGGATACCCCCACCCCCACCTTTGAACCCCCCCCCTCTGTTTGTTCCATGTGTCCACAATTTAGGCATTGGGGTTTAGGGTCTAATTAGGGTTTAGGGCTTAGGGTTACTTGGGTGTCAAGGTAGCTCTTCTTAAACTAGCAGCCGTACATCCCGCCTTTCCCGGTTACGTTACTTCAAACAGAGCCCTAAACCCTCATGCCTGAAAAAACAGGCCCGCCTCTCGCCGCAGGCTTTCTGTCAAGCTCTTGACCGCCTTGCGCAGATGAAAGGTTTATGGATCAGGGTCCCTGACCGGTGTGCCTTGTTTCCGAGAGAGTCCATGATCGTAGGTGCTTGCAACAGGGGGTCAACTTGGGGTCCCTAACCCTAACATTAAACCCTAAACCCTAAACCCTAAACCCTAAACCCCAAACCCCAAACCCTAAACCCTAAACCCTAAACCCTGTCGGTTCCCTAACCCTGCAGTAACCTCTCTTTGAGCATCAGAATCCAGATTCACCATTAACCTCAGGAATAATCACGAAAGCCTTTGTGTTGCAGGATTAGGGTTGTTTAGGGCTTAGGAAGACCTCTTCCGCAAAAAAGGGCCCCATGATGCCACTTAGGAATACGGTTGAGGGTTGAGGGTTTGGGCTGCAGGGTTTAGCGTTCAGGGTTTGGGGTTTAGGGTTTAGGGTTTGGGGTTTAGGGTTTTTGGTCTCGAAACCCTGTTTCTTAGTAGGGAATGAGGGAATGAGGGCCCTATATAATCCCTTAAAGGGTATATATATGTATACATATCTATATATATATATATATAGGGCCCTCATTCCCTCCTTCCCTACTAAGAACCAGGCTCGTTCTTGGCTCTTCTGTCAAGCCTGCCCTGTAGGGCGGAC